ACCCCTCAGCGTTCAAAGCAACAGCCTGGGGCAGGGGTTGGGGGGGACTGGGAAGTGGGGTGGCTGAACTCACTGCCCAGAACAGTGTGGTGTCCATAGATCATACTGCCTCCTTTGAGCTGGTGTTTTGTTTCTTTTTTATCCAATTGCCTGATTTTTGCCTCATCTTAGGCCCACTGCAGGGATTGTCCTGGGAGGGCGGGGGCTCTGGGGTCCATAGGGCAACTCCCCTGGAAGGGGTGGGAGGTAAAGGAGCCTGGTCACTGTGCTGAGCGAGGGGCAGAGTTCCCAGGCCTGGGCCGGTCCCCTCTCCCGGGGCCAGAGCCACCGTGCAGCCCGGCTACACCCAGAACAGGGCCTGCCACAGAGGCTGAGAGCGGGTCTCAGACCAGGGGCTGCTCCATCCCAGAAGCGGGAAGCAGGTGGCTGGGGAGGGGTCTCCACAGGGTACTTCCCACTCTCAGCGGCACCTGCCCCCTGCCCGGCAGACACCAGGACTAACTGCTGTGTTTCCTCACCACCGGCTCCAAGGGCATCAGCTGACACAGACCATGAACTGTGTGACCCCGGGAAGCTTAATGGACTGAACTGGAGACACCCTCCTGACCAACCAGCAGCAGGGCTTGTTGCGACCACGTGTCCTCCCCAGAGCGCTGGCTTTTGGCGTGTGATCAGCGCCAACACCACGCACTCCCTGATCTAGCGCTTGACAAACACCTGAGCTTCCCCCAGCAGATTTCTGCACGGGGTGTGTGTGTGTGTGTCCGTGTGTATGTGTGTCCGTGTGTGTGTGTGTGTGTGTGTGTGTGTCCATGTGTGTGTGTGTCTGTGTGTGTGTGTGTCCCTGCCTGGCAAGCACAGGCTGGGCTTTGTCAGTTCTTAGCCCCCTAGTCTGTGTTTGCTCCATCCTTGGACGTGACCTCAGTGTCCTGGTCCCACCGTGTGGTTCTACAGGCTACCAGCAACTCCTGCGCAGCTACAGAGAGACGGGGAAGACAGGGCTGGGGAGGGGGCCGTGGTGGGCTCCCACCTGCCCCTCTTCTCTTACCTGTGCTGCTGTCGCCAGCCAGGCCACTCTCCATCCCCGGAGGCCCCTCGGCATCAGCACGGCGGCTCCCTGCCTGGCCGTCTGTGGGCGAGATGGGAGCAAAGGAAAGAGAGTTGGCCTGTGGGACGAGGACGAATGCCACTCACAGGAAGCAGTCCCTCTTTTTCAAAAGGTTTTCTATGACCTCTGTCGAAATGAGCAGGATTTTTTTTAAAGCACATATACCTGCTAGGCAGGTAAAATGTGTATAATTCCCATTTTATGAAGAATAAACTGAGGCCAGAGAGGGCTGCTGACATGCCCCAAGTCACAGAGGTGGCCGAACGGCAGAGCTGGGCAAGGTCCCTGGGCTTCTAACTCCCAGACCAGAGCCTCATGCCCACACTCTCATCACCTGCGGGGTGGGGTGTGAAGGATGCCACAAGAGAGAACCAGGAAACTCAAATAAGTTTAGAGACACCCCCTACCCTGCAACGTGGTCACGAGGACACCCTGGAGGGAAGAACTGTCCCTCCAAAATCGCCAGCCACCCCATCTCTCAAAGCCCCCGTCCAGGTTCCCCCGCAAACCCTTCTGGGGCCTCACAGCCACCCCCCACCCCTGGGCAAGAACACACGTGGCCAACCTGGGTCCTAGGGACCTGATTCCTCATCCACCAATCTGGGGCTCATCTTTTTTTACTCTTCAGTCTTTTTTTTTTTTTTTTTTTGCAGTATGCGGGCCTCTCACTGTTGCGGCCCCTCTCGTTGCGGAGCACAGGCTCCGGACGCGCAGGCTCAGCGGCCATGTCTCACGGGCCCAGCCGCTCTGCGGCATGTGGGATCTTCCCGGACCGGGGCACGAACCCACGTCCCCTGCATCGGCAGGCGGACTCTCAACCACTGCGCCACCAGGGGAGCCCCCTCTTCCGTCTTTTGAACATCTCCCGACTGGCTCATTTGGTGCCTGGAACGTGACTGGGACGGGTCCTGCTGCTCTGACCCCTTGGCGCGGCCCCTGCCCCTTCCAGGCCCCAGCCTAAACGTCACCTCCTCTGAGTGGCCTTCCCTGGCAGCCCCGTGTAAAGTCACAACCCTAGCCCCACCTCCCATTCCTCCCTGACACTTTTCGCCACCCGACAGGATATTTACTTCTCTGCTCATTCCCCGACAGGAATCGAGGACAGGACTTCCCGGGCTCACTGCCAAGTGCCAGGGTCCGGGCCAGAGCCCACAAGTGGAGGGCACCAAACAGCCGTGTGTGGCACGAACATGCTGCTGGTTACGTGCACTCAGGGATGTGGCCGCTGCACGTGGTGCTGTGGGCGGCGCCCCCCCCCCGCGAGGTCGGGGATCTCGTTTCCTACGCCTGCACCCCCGGACCCCCTGCACTCCCAAACAGGCCCCAGCCTCTGCCCCACAAGACGGGAGGCTGGGCTCACGCTGCAGGACCAGGAACCTCTCCTCGGCCACCGCTCAGGCTCGGGGAAGCCAGCCTCCCCTTGCTCCACACCTCGGGCCCCGGACAGCCTCCCAGAAACCCCATTCTAAGGGTCTCCCCGCTTCCTTCTCCCAGGTCCCCTTCCAGCGGCTACTCCGGGGACAGGGACCCAGGCTGGAGATGTGGACCCTGCCCGGAGAGGTGGGGGGCAGGGGTGTCAGGGAGATACAAATCTGAGAAATAGAAAACTCACCCTCCCTGGTGCAGAAAGGGAAAGAGAACCCTCCCCTTTCATTCAGAGTATTTTCTTTAGAAAACTTCTAATTGGAAGTTCTTTCTCTGCCCCTTTGAGGTGCATGTAAATCTTTTTAAAGCTCACTAAGCCTCTTGCCGGCTTTACAACCCAGGACTGCCTTTCTCGGGGACCTGGGAGCCATCTCTCTGAAATGCAAACATCAAGGGAACAGCGGCCAGTGTCCCCTGCCCGTGGGCGGTGGGAGCCTAACTCTCCAGGAGCACCGGGCTCGGGGCTGCAAACCTCCTCCCGTCACCAGGGTACAAGAAGTGGATGTTTCCTTTGCATAAAGGCAATTAGCTATCACGGGTGGCCTCCCAATTCCAGGCGTGAACTCTGGAATTACGGTGAACTCTGTGTGACAAACGGTCAAGTCCTCTTACCCGAGGACTGGCTGTGCTTTCCCTGGAGAACACGTGTGCAGTGGGGTCGCCCCTGCTGGACTGTGTAACAGGTGAGATTTCTGTCTACAGTCTCTTAGCAAATTGCCTGTGATGTGCACCACATTCCAGTCTAATGCTTATTCAGTTAAAAACTTGTTTTCTTTCTCTCCTACTTTTGCGGGGAGTTTTTCTGAGTTGGCAGGAGATTTGGTTTTTAATTCTATTTCCCCAAAAGGGGTCTGTTACGCGCTCCTGCTGTGGGTTACTATAGACACTGAAACCTGCCTGTGGTGCAGAGAAAAGGGGGCCACAAATGAGGGCAGGAGAAGGCCCCCCCTTGGGGCCCCTGACGGGTGCCAATGCTCCTGCCTTAGCACCACATTTTCCTTCCGGGTCACTCTGCATCCCAGGCCGTGGGGTAGCCTCTCACCAACTGGAGATTTAATGTCTGCCTAAGGAGACTCAGAGGACTGGCGGACAAAGAGGCCGCTTTGATATGGGGAACCTCAGACGGGGGGTGGAGGCTCGGGCCACAACTCAGGGCAAGGACAGCGGGTGGGACTTGGGCTCATTCACAAACCCCTACACAACACAACTGAGGCCCCTTGAGCCAAATCAAATCGGTCCTACTCGATCCGTTCTGTCTTAAGAGGTATTATGGACTCAAAGTCGCCTCGGGTGGCAGAAGGGCTTCAATTCTTGGTGACCAGTTCACAGGGAGTCTCTGAGCTGCACCAGAGCTCATGGTCCGAGAAAGAACAGACGTGGAAATGGAAGGAAAGGACCCTCGTGGGCCCGAGGGGAAGAAGGAAGAAAGGAGAGGGCAGGGGACAGGAACAGGGGGCAGGGGCTATGTCTTGGGGGCCCATCTCCACCTGTGTGCTCAGGTGGGATGTGTCTGGAAAACAGGCCAACAGGTGTCCTCAGACAAACCCCGAGACAAGCCGAACGGCAGAAGGTCCCTGCGTGTGGCAGCGTCTTTCCAGGCCGACCAGGCCCCCGCACACCCCACCCTGATGCACCGCACTGCACACCTCTTCTCGCCCCACCAGACACATCACTCAGCTGACTGGAGAGAGAGAGGCCCAGGGACACGGCGAGCAGGCCGCCCAGCAGAAGACCCTGGCCAGAAAACAGGAGGCAACGGGGGCCGATCCCCATCCACCAGTGCCCACACCGAGTCCCTAAGGGCCACCTGGTCTATCACCCAGCTCCCCGACCCCAATCTCTGATGACCTTTGCCCTCCCTGCCCAGCAGGTCCCCTGGAGGGTGGGACACACCCAGGGGGTGGGTCTCAGGACAGGGCCCCAGTCACCTCCTCCTTCCCAGCCCCTGGCTCTGGGTCAGGCCGCAGTTGGGATGAGAGCCCCTTGACGGGGAGGCTTTGCGGGACAGCTGCCCTGACAACTGCCGCGTCACACAAGGCGGGACTGTGGCCTGGGGCAGGTGCTGAGGTCTGGGGGCAGGGAAGGTAACAAAGGGGCTTCGATCTTAGCAGAAATCTGGGGGGAAGGCAGACAGCAGCTGGGGGTGCACAAAGGCCACGGGCCGGGAGAGGCGGTGCAGGGACACGTCTCCAGATCTCAGGGCCCTGGACCTTTTCCACCAGCCAAGTACACCTCTCTTCACAGACTCAGGCCCCACATGGGGAGGAAGGAGATGGCGCCTCGTGTGTCCTCTGTCACCAGTGGAGTGGGGACCGGCCACGTGCCCTCCACCAGTAGCTCAGACTTTGAGGGATGCATCTCCCCAATTCCAGCCGAAGGCCCAGCTCACAGGCCCTGCTCAGCTAGGAGCCCCACCCAGGGCGACACCATGTGCCACCGTCCACCCATGCGCACAGTCCCTCCCCACAGGAAACCGCGCACAGGAGGCAGTCTTCCCAAGGTACGCTGCCCACCAAGCTGACCGCCCTCACACCAGTAGCTCAAGTCCCCCGGGGAGCAGCCCAGGCCAGTGTTTGGAAGAGGATGGGCGAGGGCCCGCAGGCTCCAGCTAGCCCTCACCCTGAGGGTGTGCTCTCGGAGTCCTCCGGGGGGATGGAGACTGTCTGTCCTTCCCTCATTCACTGAGAGGGCGGGGGCTTCCCTGGTCACCTCGGTATTCACCTGGCTCTGGAAAGAAAAGGGGGTGACGAGCCAAGCCTCGGTAGGGACAGGGAGACCAACTGTGTACCGGGCACTCAGCAAGCTCCGCCCACTTCGTCCTAAGGAGGCACGGCTCTGAGACGTTAAGCGGTTTGCTCAAGGTCACACAGCCAGTAAGTGCTGGAGGCAGGACCGGTGAACTGGGGTGGGCCTGCCCCACCCAGAGGCCCTGCTCCTGGACCATGCTGCCTCCAAGAGAAGGTGCAGAGTGTCCCAAACCTTAAGCCACCAGGGCCTCATTTTCAGGAGGCTGGCCTCTAGACCCACATGTTGGTTATTTAAGTGTGTATAAATTAAGTTTAAGATTCAGTTTCTCATCTACACTGGCCACGCTTCAAGTGTTCAACAGTCACACGTGGCTAGAGCCACCGTAACATCCAGCAGAAAAGAAGACTTCCAGGTTCACGAAGTTCTGCTGGGCAACACTGCACTAGACATAAAGCTCCAGGATGGCGGCGGCCCTGCCTGCCGGGGCCTGGGACGCAGAAGGCGCTCAGTTTATACTGGGTGAATGAATAAATGAATGAACGAATGAAAGAAATGGGAAGACGGGGCCCCTCTGGCCCCAGTGCTTCATCACCAACAACAAATACCTCAGGACAGGTTAATGATGTCCCAGGCCTGGGAAATGGATCTCAGTTAATATCAGTGGATGTTTCATTTAAAATATACAATCATAGGTGGTTGCCAAGGGGGAGGGGGTTGGGGGAGGGATGGAGTGGGAGATCAGGGTTAGCAGATGTCAGCTTTTATATATAAACGGATAAACAACAAGGTCCTACTGTAGAGCACAAGGAACTATAGTCAATATCCTGTGATAAACCATAATGGAAAAGAATATATAAAAAAAGACGGCTGCCCTGGTGGCGCAGTGGTTGAGAGTCCGCCTGCCGATGCAGGGGACACGGGTTCGTGCACTGGTCCGGGAAGATCCCACATGCCGCGGAGCGGCTGGGCCCATGAGCCATGGCCGCTGAGCCTGTGCTCTGCAACGGAAGAGGCCACAACAGTGAGAGGCCCGCGTACCACAAAAAAAAAAAAAAAAAGAATGTATACATGTATAACTGAATCACTTTGTTGTACAGCAGAAATTAACACAACATTGTGAATCAACTATACTTCAATAAAGAATATTGATAAAATACAGTCATAGGCATACGCGAAGAAACTGATCTAAACACTAAATGCACACAAACATATCCAGAGACGATCATATCTAACATCCAAGGCGGCTAAGTACACAAACGTTCAAAGATACAAAAATACAGAAATACTCATACACATGAGAATACCTGCAAAATTGCATATGCAAAGTACAGAGAGGTTGAAATATTAAAACATCCACCCATACACCTACAGATCCAGAGACACAAGTGTGCCCACATGAACCGCACGAGCACAAATCACTCCCCTTTCACACTGGAGAAAACAGCAATGGACTCCCTGCTGACACAAGTAACCTCACAATCCATGACCATCCCTCCAGGTCCACTGCTCCGAGGAACGGAACTCAGGGGATGATGCAACCACCGGGAGAGGGAGCGACAGCGGGTGATGGGGAACAGTCACCTGCTGGGGTACCGGTGGGGTAGGCTGAGAGGAGGGGGGCGGCGTGAGGCAGCAGTGCTGCAGCTGGAGGGGAGAAGCTGGAAGGGCACAGAAAGCCCTAGAAAGAGGACAGGGCTCTGCCCGGCTGGCCAGTGCAGCCCCAGCCCCAAGGCCACGCTGCAGGGGTCTGGCCAGGAGGCGGCGGCAGGCGGTTCCCCTCTCCCCTGGGAACCTGAGCCCAGACTCCTCGGCCGAGTCTGCCCCTCGCAGTGCACTCGCATTGGCTGCCCCTCTCCTCAGGCCCACGCACGCCTGGACCCAGGATCAGGAGCCCTGAGTTCTAGCCCACCTGTCCTCTAGGCCTAGGTTCCCAATGGCGAAGGTGACTGAAAACGCCTGCTGCGGGGGCTTGCTGTGAGCATCAGGTTGGGGTACACACTAGACTTTCGAAATGGTCTTCTCTCTCTTTCTCGCGGCCTGAGAGCAACCCACACCCGAAGCTTCTGAGCCCTCTCTCCGAGCGCCCCATGGCCAGCCCACCCTTCCTAAACCGTTATCCTTCAAGCTGCTTCAGAATCTCTGGAGGCCCCCCGCGCCCACACAGGAACCCCAAACTCTGCTCAGCAACGGGAGCCCGCCTCGCAGAGGAACCGGGCGTGGACAGCTTTCACGGTCAAGGCTACCTGCGGAGCTGTGCTGACAGAGCAGCTCCAGGTACCGCCTCTCCCGGGAGATGGAGACTGGGTGGGGAGACGGCCTCCTCCGGGCCAGGCTGTGGGCCAGGGGTAAGGAGAGCAGGGCCGGGTCTGGGCCCTGAGCGCCAGGCAGGGGGCTGGACTAAAGAGAGCCGTGGACGCTCTGCCGGCTCAGCCCAGGCGATCCCCGCGGCCTCACACCCCGACTCTGTTGCGGGGAGGAGCTGGTGTAGCCTTTGTCTCCCAGGACTGACTGCACAGCCCCCAGGCCCTCTCCCAAAGCCAGTCCTACGCAGGCCACTCCCGCGCGAGGCTGGTCCCTGGGCTCTGGCCCATCTCTGGATAATCAGCGCTCTCTCCAGGCGTCGGTCCCCCACCCCTACACCCACTTCACCTTCCTCTCCTCCAGCGTTTCTGACCGAGGAGGAAATGCAAACCATCCCCAACAAGTGGCTTTAAAATGGTATTGGAAAGGCAGGGCAACTGCTGTTCCCACCTTTTATGGCCCAGTGCCCGAGGACAGACAGGCAGGCCGAGGTCCTAGCCCAGACCAGGTGAGCGTCACCTCCACCCACCACCTAGAAGCCTGCCTCCCCCCCACATCCCAGCATAAGGCATGCCCGGCATCCTTCTACAACTCCCAGAACAATCCCCGAGCCCCTCCAGGGCCCCCACCCCATCCTTCTCTCCCATCAGCCTCCCTGCTCCTCCCTCATTCCTCTCCGACTTCCCAGATCTACTCACCACCGGATCAGGTGTCCCCATGCACCCTCACTGTTACCTCTTCTAAGCCCTCGCCCGTCCTCCCCCTTCTCCCCATCCCCCCCTTCCTACTCCAGCATCTGCAGACCTCAGCCTTCCACGCACCGTGGGGTCCTCAGTCCCAGGAGAGGGGACAGCGGTGGGGAGGAAGAAGGCGGGGCAGGCCATCGTCCCACAGAAAGACCACACGTAGCGGAAGGAGCCCAGGACAGGGAGGCCAGAGACCTTGGGACCGGGTTTGCTTCTGGTTAGTCACGTGACCCCGGGCCAGCCACTTTCCTTCCCTAGGCCTCAGTTTCCCCATCTGCAAATGGAAATAATGCTTGGTCCTCTGTACAGAACTGTTATATCAAGCAGTGGGAGGGAAACATTGCAAAAGGACTCGAAAATGTTCACAAAGGTGCAAGATGAATTCTTTTTAGGTCACTGCATTGCCATCACCCCCTCCCCACTACCCAGTTGTCAGAACTGATAGGAAGAGCCCAATTCAGTGACTTCAGTTTGCTTCCGCCAGCATTCCCTGGGAACCAGGTCCAGGGCCGGCCAGGGCAGCCAGGGCAGCTGCCTTATCCCATCATGCCCGCCCACCTCCCAGAGGTCCCGGATTCAACCCCTTGCCAGTCCCCAAGGCACCTCCTTCCAGGACCCCTGCCCCACCTGCCCTGCCCAACATGCACACCTTTGCTGGGACTGTCACTCCCCCACCTCCCCGCTCCCAGGCCTGTCCCCCACCCATGGCATCCCCATCCCCAGTCTTTGCTCACCTGTCTCCCTTTAGAGGATAGAACGTCACCCACATTCTTCTGCCCCAAATCTAAGACTCAGGAGCCCGCCAGGGCCTGGGGACCCCCATTACCTGATCGAAGGCAAGGGATGAAGCCAACTGCCAACAACACTTTGGACAATTGGCACATTTTGATTTCTAAACACGTTTCACCCCTGCTGCCCTCAAAGGAGCCTGGCAAGGATAAGGAGTGTGTCCCCCTTTTTGGATGAGGAAAGCAAGGCCCAGAGGGGACATTCCCTGCCTCAGAGAAAGTTAGAACTCAGGTCTCCTGCCCACCTGGCCCACGCTCCCTTGCAGGCCACCCCCATCCTAGGAAACCTTAGACTCCTCAGCTTAACCCTCACCAGGGGAGCAGGTGCCTGGACCAGCTCTGCACTTGGCCCTGGGCATCCTTTGCCCCTCCCGGCGGGACTCACGAGGCCTCTCAAAACTGCCACCACCTTTCACTACCGCAGAGCACAGCCCCCACAATCCACAGGTCACTAAATCATACCAGCGCTGTTTTAATACCTCCAGCGTCTGCCACCGCTGCTGCCTTGGTTCAGGCCTCAGCACTGCTCACCTGGAGACTGCACTGCTATCATACCTCATCTTGCCCCTCCAATCCATCCACCACCCAGACTCAAAGCAATTTTCCTAAAATTACAATTTAGACATGTTACTACTTTGCTTAAAACACTTCAGTGGGTCCCCAGCACTTTCAGGTACTGCTAAAAATTTCTTGGCAAGACCATTTAAAATCTGGCCTCTGCCCACCTCTCACTGTACCACCAACCTACCCCCATTGTCCCCAGATGCAACCTCCTGACCTTGCCGTGTCTAGGGACACCTGTGACCAGTCTTGGAATACCCTTGCCCAACTCTTCTCTGCCCAGCCCAGATCCAGGATCACTTTCACCAGGAAGCCTTTGTGGATACACCAGGCTCAGTTAGGGGCCCTTCTCTGTTTAACCTGTGCACTCACCCAACCCAGTACCATCTACACAGTATAATAATAATTTGTCTCCACAAGAAGACTGTAAGCATCTTAACACAGGGAGTGTTTCTCTCTCCCCAACACCCAGCACAAGGTCCAGCATGCTGTAAACCATTCATAAAAATTTTAACAAAGGAACATTTAGATGAAAGAAACTTAAGTCCAAAACAGATTAGAAGCATAGAGTCATGGAACCTTAGCATTGAAAGGAGACTAATACCCTCTAATATTCTCTTTTTACAGATGAACACCTGGACCCAAAATGCACACCTAATAGTGGAGCCTGGACATAGCCGGCCTCGAGTCGGGGCTCTGACCACACCCCACCCCAGGTCTGGTGGACCAAGACACACACCAGGCTCCATCCTCCCAAAGGGCTGGAGGGAGCGGCATCTCTATACCCTCCACCTTCACGAGGGAAGAAACCCCCAGCGCCTACCCCCAGCCCCACTGAGATCTTGGCTCCTATGCCTGTCTTCCTAGGATGGAGGTTTCGGGGAGACCCCTACACACACTCCTCCAATTTCTGTGGTGCTTCCCTCTCATTGTTCTCGCCCCCGATCCTCAGGCCCACTCATTTAATCATTTATTAAGCACCTACTATGTGTCACTCTGCGGCGAGCACTGGGGTTCCCGCCCTGCAGGAACTCGATCTTTGGGGGAGGCTGACACCGCTCCCGAATATCGGGACAGGCTCTGGCAGAGCGCGCCCGGAGGAGCCGGGGGGCAGTCCCCGCGCTCACCTCCGCGCCTCTCCCGCTCTCACGCCCCGCTCCAGCTCTGACCCGGCCTGAAGCCCCTTCCCACGCACGACCCGGGCCCCTTTCCCCGTGAGCTGTGCGGGGGTAAAGTTCGGGGCTGAGAACGCGGGGGGCTCGGGGGACCCCGAGGCCGCCTCCAGCCCGAGTCTGGGTGGAGACAGCGCGAGAGGAGCGGGGCCGGACGCTGGCCCCGCGGCACGGTCCGTCCCTCCGCACGCCCCTCCCCGCCCGGATTCAGAGGGACTCGGAGGGAGGGGACGGGAATAAATACCTTTGACTTTGTGGCTAAGGTTAACGGGAACTGCCACCCCGGGGCGACTTGGGCACTGAGCTCCCCGGCCCCGCCAGTCCCGGGGCAGGCGGGGCGGGCACGCGCTCCTGATTGGCTGGCGGGCCTGGCCGTCCCCGGGGCCGCCCCGCCACCTAATTGGCTGCACCTCTCAGATGACCAGCTCAGCCCTATCGGAGAAGTCTGCGGGGCGGCTCCTTTGTTCTCCGGAGCCAATGGTCTGCGTGGGCGGGCTGACCTCGCCTCCCGAGGGACCAGTCGCGGCCCCGCCAGGCATTAAAGCGTTGGCCGTGGGGCGCTGGGCCCGGTCTCCCAGGGGAGGAGGGGCGGGGGCAAGTCCGGAGAGCTGGTGACCCGACGGCGCGGCAGCACCCTCTCCTTCTCTCCGTGGAGCTCTGCCTCCCCATCCAGGCCGCGCAGACGCGCGCTCTGAAACCGATCCAGTCGCTCGGCAACTCTCGGTCCGACGCCTGCGACGCGCCCGCACCGCCCTTGGTGCCGGGATCCGGGGGAACAAGACGCACGAACCCCGATCCGACGATCACAGTCGAGTGTGCATGTGACATGGTTGTGGCACTTGGCACTACGGCACACCAGGTGTTAGAGTGAGATGTGCGAGTCTCGTGCGACGGGAGAGAAATCGCCCTCCGCACTCACGCGGCCCTAGGCATGTCGTAGCCGCGTGATAAATGAACCTGGGGTCTCCAGGAGAGACTTAGACATCATTAAGTCCAACCCCTCCCTTTTTGTTGAGGAAAGAGCGACCAACGTTTCTAGTGTTACTGCTGATTCAGAGGCGGGGTCCAGATGGCCAAGGAGAGTTTTCTGTTTCCAGAGACCGTCAGGAAAGAGAATTTTCACATCTACTCACCCAGATCCGAAGGAAATGCTCCTTTATGTCAATCAAATTCCTCACACTGCTACCTCAAAGGGGGCCGGCCAGCCAGGGCAACTCCCACTGGCAGATTCTCTCCGGAGCTGCCCAGAAACCGCCTTTGGGACAGGAGGTTGATATCAAGAGAAGCTGGCCTCACTCTGAGAGTTGCTACAAACCTTACTGTTAAGCCTATGGACCTTATTCTAATGGGTCAGCAGCTGCCTACTAGGCGTTTGCCACAGGCCCAGCTGCCGTTAAGCCTCATAACACAACAGAAACGGGGGACCCAATTCTATCAGTTTTGCCACAATCTTCTTGTGCAGTTTTTACGAAAGATACTTTCTGTCCCTGGACTTTGACTTATTCCTCTGTAAGAGTTAATAATTTTCTAGTTACAGTCGGCCTTCCGTATCCACAGGTTCCACATCTGTGATTTCAATCAACAGCAGACTGAAAATATTCGGGGAGGGGGAACTCCAGAAAGTTCCACAAAAGCAAAATTTGAATTTTCCCAGGCACAGGGAACTATGTATATAGCATTTACACTGTATTAAGTATTGTGAGTAATCTAGAGGTGATTTAAAGTATACAAGAGGACATGAGTGTGTAGGTTATATGCAAATACAATGCCATTTTATATATAAGGGACTCCAGAATCCAAAGATTTTGTTATCCACGAGGGGGCGGGGGGGGGGGGGGGGGGGGGGGTTCCTGGAAACAATCCCCAGAGGATACTGAGGGACAACTGGGTTTTTGCAGGACCCTAATTGGTTCTATCCTCTACAGAAGCATTTGTAAAGTATAAAACCCTGCCCAGAGGCCAGAAATCACTAGGCCATCAACTCTTCAAATAGAGTCTCATTCATCTTATTTTCTGAGTACCTAGGGAGAGTTCAACCAAGACTTGTGGAATTCCAGCATTGTAGCTCCACATCTGCCCCTGGCTATGAGTGGGGAAGTCATTTCCACTCTCTGGGCCTGTTTCTTCCTTCCACAGAGTGAAAGACTTCCTCCAGATTGACATTTCATGACCAAGGGTACTTCAAGGATGGAAAAAATGAAGCACACCTGGGATCCTATTTCCATGAAGCGAAAAAAGGGGAGGCTGCACGTGTGAGTTTGCAAATGCACAGGAAAAATGTCTGGAAGGCCACCCTCAAACTCTTTATGGGATTCAAAGAGAAAAGCCATGGGGTCGGGGGAGTGGGGGAAATAAAGAACTTTTACATTAAAAAATAAATCTACATTTTGTCCGCATTGTTTAATTTTGACGATAATTTAATACTTTTGTGATTATAAAAGAAGGAGAAACAAAAACAAAAACCAAACCTGGACTCTTTAGAAGAGGACAGCTCCCGTCAGCAAAGGGCCGACCCCTCCAACGGGGCAGTCCCTCCTTCAAGACTGCTGTCAGCATGTGCTCTGCTGAGCAAGGACTTGGGACCCACTTGGCCCTCTAAGAGACTTGGGGAGGAACCATGGGCAAGTTCACTCTGTTCTTACTTTCCCAGCCCCTTCAAGGCCACTTCCATGGCTTTCCCTGAACTTTGGTCCTCTCCTCATCATCTCTGCCCAAAAGCAGCGGGCAGCATAGCATTAGAGGACACAATGCCGGGCATTTCCTTTACAAGTAATGATTTTTCAAAAAGTCAGGAACCCTGATGAGATTCCCTCTACTTCACCCTTCCCCTCCGCCATCCTAACCCTGGATCCCTGAGGACCTGTCCCCTGTTCCCTGCCCATAATCCCCAGACATCTAGCTACTTTCCTTGTCACCCCGCAAAAAGCACTGCTCCCGTCACTTGAAGCCCTGAGCTTCCTTAGAGAGACATATTTAAGTGAGGATTTCTGGAGACAGTGCTCCCAGGCCCTGAGAGAGAATTTGCCATCAATTACACAGGTTTGTTTTTTTTTGTAGTTTTTTTTTTTTAACTACACAGGTTTTGAAGTGGCCTCCTAACACCATAAAGCAACATAAGGCTCTGTCTGCTTCCATCCTACACACCTGGAACCCCACCAAACCCTCATCCATCTCTCTCCACTCACGATCTGTGTACAGGTATAAGTCCCCCCAGACTTAGGCCTCTTTGGGGTAAGACTCTTATTTTTGTAAACCCCCAGTTTCCATCACATCAAGCACACAGTAGACATTTAATACTTGTCTTCACCAAAAGCAGCAGCACTGCAGTTGCTCAATAAACATGCAGCGGTGGTCAAGAGCCTGGGTTTTGGGTTGAACACACCCGGGTTTGTATTGCCTCTGCTGATTACCAGTTATATGACCTTGAGCAAATGTTTTCATCTGTAAAAAAAGAGTACCTGCCAAACTCTAAATTGTTAGATAATTGAAGTAAACTTCTTTGCAAGGTGCCATGATATTAACAAACTGTGGTTGCACCAGGCTCGGTGCTGGAAATCTATGCAGAAACTACTAAGACAGACAGGAAAAGGGCCTATTGATACCTGCCGAAAACAGGCACTCAAATGCACATGAAGCAACCAGTGCAGGGAAGCGTACACATCTGCTACAGATACGGGAACCGTAGCAGGCCAGCCAGGGAGGCACGGCAGGACAGAATCAAGTCAGACGTTTTCTCCCTGACAACTGACACCCAGCAAGGCTAACTTGACCCCTAGAGAGGAAACCCCACTTGCTGGGTGTGCCTGACCCCACCTCGGGGAAGTACGGGCGGGTGTGCAGAGAAGCTGGACAAGCCGGCCACTCGGCCTGTCACCCACCCCAATGCCCAACCCCGTCGGAGGAGAGCTGCTGCCCCTCCCTCCAACTCCACAGCTCCCCAGGACAAAGAAACACTTCTCAGCCACTGGTTCTAAAACCAGATCTTTATTCTCTAGTTTGAAAAGGAGGATAAGTGGTTGTGTTTAGTTCCAGAGAACAAGGCCCAACAGTAGAAATTACAGGGAAGCAGACTTCATTCATTATAAGGAAGAATTTCTAACAATCAGAATTATCCTACAGTAGAACCAGGGCCTGGGGGGGTGGGGGTGGGGAACTCCCTGTCACCTAAGTATTCAAGCAGAAGCTGGGCATCCAGACGCTAGAAATGCTGAAGGGGAAACTCACCCCCATTTCCCATCAGCTGGCCCTCCGTTATCAACGGGGCAGTCCTCCCCACTACATGCCGAGTTCTGAAGGGAGTGAAGGCAGGCTGCGGTGTTCAGACAAAAGCCCTGACGCAGGGTGGCTGACAGCCAGGGGATGCCCTAAGCACTGGGAGGCTGGTGGGTAAAGCAAGTCAGACAGGTGGGGAGATGCCCAGGGCAGGGGACTGGATCCTCTGGGAGGAAGGTGAGCCAAGCACTAACAGTAGATGGGTCTCTCCAAAGCCTGTGCAGGGGCAGGACGGAGGGGATGTAGTGAGGCAGGCTGGAGCAGCTCGGCTTCGCCTCCCAGTACTGGAAAAGGCCCAGGTGCCACCCGAGGCCGGCAGGTTCTCCCAGGTATATCCATCTGGTCCGCTTTTCCTCCTGGGCGCTCATTCACTAAGGACTGAACCACACCTACTTCCAAAAAACGAGCTGAAGGAACTCATAACAGACAGAGACATTAAGGCGTTAACACCAGAGGAGAGGGGTCTTCCTGTCCACTGGTGGCCCCTCCGGCCGGAGGGCTCTAAGGGGTGGGTGGAGCTGCTATTGCTACTTTTCCAGGGCGCAGGGCAGTCAGGACTGAACCTTAGCAAACACCAGCTGGAGGCCGGGGTCCCTGCTCTGCAAGTGGACTCCCTGACTGCAGGGGTAGAGGACCCCCCTCTCTAACGGGGCAGGCTCACTCCTCTCCCCCCCCTGCCTACAAGCAGTGGCACAGGGCACGGTATGAATGATGCCCAGGCCCGACCTCCCTCGGCCCCCGCCGCCCCTGCCCCTTCAGACATCATGCTTCTTCTGATGGGCCAGGAGCTTCTCCTCGTCGTCAAAGGTCTGGCCACAGATGGCGCAGCAGAAGGCGCCGTCCCGGATGTGGCTCTTGCGGTGGGTGATGAGGTTGGACTTCTGACTGAAGCTGCGGTCGCAGTCGGGGCAGGCGTAGGGGCGCTCGCCCGTGTGGATGCGCCGATGCGACACCAGGTTGGACTTCTGGCTGAAGGCTTTGCCGCAGTCGGGGCAGACGTAGGGCTTCTCGCCGGTGTGGATCCGCCGGTGTGCGGCCAGGTAGGGCTTGTGGCGGAAAGCTTTCCCGCAGTCCGGGCAGACGAAGGGCCGCTCCGGCGCGTGGTCGCGCCGGTGGGCGGCCAGGTGGCTCCCCTGGGAGAAGCGGCGCCCGCACTCCTCACAGGCAAAGGGCCGCTCGCCTGAGTGGACCCGGGAGTGGGCCACCAGGTGGGTCTTCTTGCCGAAGTTCTTCCCGCACTCGGCGCAGGTGAAGGGCCGCTCGCCCGTGTGCTGCCGCTGATGGGCCCGCAGGAAGCGCTCCAGCCGGAAGCTCCGCCCACAGTCCTCGCAGCTGTAGAGAGAGGGCGGGGCCTCTGCCTGGTGGCCGGGGGGCTCCCCTGGGGCCTCCAAAGGCTCCGGGGCCGGCTTCAGCGGGGGCTCCGCGGCGGGCTCTGACGAGGGCTCCGGGGGGCCGGCGGGAAGCTGGGGGCTCCCCGAGCGGGGGGCACCCTGGGCAGACCCTTCGGAGCGCTTGTGGATCTTGCTGTGCGACAGCAGGTTGGGTTTGTGGCGGAAGCGGCGGCCGCACTCGGTGCACGGGTAGGGCTTCTCGCCCGTGTGGATGCGCCGGTGCGAGGTCAGGTAGGGCTTATTGGTGAAGCGCTTCCCGCACTCAGGGCACTGGTGGGGCCTCTCGCCTGTGTGCACGCGGCGGTGGGCGATCAGGTTGGGCTTGTGGCGGAAGCGCTTCCCGCAGCAGGTACACTGGAAGGGGCGGTCGACGGCGTCTCCACCGGGCCGGGGCGCGGTCACCGCAGGACGGCCCCGAGGCCGAGGCCCGAGGGCCTTGGCCGCCGCTTCCTCCAGGGCTTCGGCCACGTGAACCCGCTTGTGAGCAACCAGCTGGTCCCACTGGGCGAAGCTGCGGCCGCAATTGCCGCATATGAAGGGCCGGGCCTCGGGCGCCGGGGGGTGGCAGCGCCGCAAATGGGCCCTAAGCTGCTTTCTCCGCCAGAAGCGTCTCTCGCAGTCGGGACAGGCGATGGGCCGCTTTGCCGCCGAGTGGGCCAGCAGGTGCAGAACCAGGGCCACCCAGCCTCGGAAGCTCTGCCCGCAGAGGTGGCAGGCAAAGCCCAGGTCTGGGGTGGCGGCGGCATGGACCTGGCAGTGCAGTGCCAAGAAAGGGGCGTGGCGGAAGCGACGGCCACACTCGGGACAGGGCAGGGGCAGCCGGGCCTGGCAGCGCCGGGCATGAAGCCAGAGGGCCACCCAGCCCGGGAAGTGCCTTCGACAGTGGGCACAACGATGGGCCCGACCTAGGGCCTGGCTGCCCGGCTGGGCCACGGCAGTGCCTTGTGACCTCAGCCCTTGGGGCTCCTTCTCCAGGGTCTGGGGCGACTCCTGGGAGGGCCCAGAAAGGAGTCGCGGCTGGGCGGGGCCCATGGCCACGGGGCCCCTGCAGCGACGTTCCAGCATCGGTTCTTCCTCTGCTGGGGGTGGAAAGGCACAGTCACTCTACAGAGCCACACAGCCTGCTCCCAGCTCCTCCCCTGCAGACCCCAGGCCCAAGAGGAGCTCGCCCCTCTCCACTCCTGGAGCCCTGGAACCTAGACTACTCTTCTATTTCCTTGTATTATATGATTTAATTCTTGGGCTTCCAGATACCATTTCAAATATATCTGTCTTTAATTCTTTTTTTAAGTTGGAAGATATTTAAATTTATTTTTACTTTCCCACATCACTAATCATGGGTATGAGTGGCTTGTATCTCCATCCGGAAAACATAGCACTATCAAGTTACTATTATATCCAGTGGAGAACTCAGTCTTTGGGTTAATTAAGTCTTTACTGACCCTGGAAACTACCAGAAGGAAGAACCCTGACACTCCTTGGAATCCCCCTCAGCCCGTGTCTGGCATGGAGTAGACACTCCGGTGCTGGCTGTATGAACATTCCTGCCTTAGGACAGAGCAGAAAACGCAGTCACCTCTCCCTACAGCGCTTTACGCTTTTCCAAGTTTTTCCCTTCTGCCCTCTCCTTATTTCTATTTCCTGTTGCCGTATCGGAGCTTCACAGCAACTCAGTGAGGCTGGACCAGAGGTATTAAGTTCCCTGTTTCATAGATGGAGCAACAGTGAGGCATAACAGGGTGATGGGACTTGCCCGAGGGCACAGAGTAAACCAACAGCAGAAGCAAGACTAGGGGACAAGTCTTCTAAACTCCCAGGCCAGTGTTCTTTCCTCTAAAATACCTGAGTTTGTAAAGATCTCACAGAAAGAAATTCCAGTGGCCTCTCATTCCTGTGATCCTCTCCTGGGCTCTAATCTAAGCCAATCTTGGGGAAGGCACTTTGGCCTCCCTAACCTCGGTCTCTCACGGGAGCAGCCTGGAGCGCCAGTGAAAGCGGCTCTTCTCAGGACCAGGAGGGGAACACCGGATGCTACCGCCGGCCCAGCATGATGCCAGGCCACTGCTTGCCCAGACTGTGCCCACATTCTCCCCGCCTGCCCTCCTCCACCCCCACACACAATTAGGCCGTTTAAGGAAGGAGAGCGCTCTTGAATCCCAGGAACGCCCGCAGCCTGCTGCCCTCGGGGGCGCTCCTGTCTCTGCCTCCCTCGGGTGATAGGGATTATTGGGGCAAGAAAAGGGGAGAAAGGAAGAGACTGTAATCTCTGGCCCCTACCGGTCCTGCCCCAACCCCGCCAGGGGCTGCCCCACATTCGGCTCTTCCAGAGCCTGGGAGCGCAGATTCCTGCAGGGTGGAATGACGGATAGACTCCTCGGGACCTTCACTGCCTGCTCACAAGTTCCAGACACATCCTCCTCATTTCCGCAGAGCCTGTACTCCTCTCCAGAAGCACAGACATGACTCATTCCCAGCGGTCAGAATGAGCACAGGGAAGACTCCCAGGATGTGAGAACGTGACCCCTTCCCCACAGGCACCCTCCTTCCACCAGGATGGGGAGGCCTGAGCACAGGGGCCATGGAATGGTTCGAGAACCCAACAAAGAAGGCCACACTCTACCCTGCAGGCTGTGGAGCTGGAGATGAGGCTTTTTCCAGCTCCTCCCGGGGATGTTCCTGCGGCTGGAGCGCCTGCTTCCGCCCACACTCTGGTAGTCCCCAGACGTCAGAGAAAACTGCAGCAGTAAAGACACCCCTACCCCCATGGCAGAGCTCAGACCTCTGAGGGCAGAGAGGCCAGCCTTACCTGTGGGGAGGGGAGAAAAAACGTGCGTGAGGCTGTGAGCTCCCCTAGGGCAGTCATCTTTGTGTCCTCGCCAGCCTCCCCTCCCCCACCCTGCCCCACACCCCGCCTGGCAGTGACCTTAATGGATACTGGATTAATAAATGAACGTGCCCCCTTCACCGAGGAAGCACAGGGCCGCGTTTGAGGGTCACTTCCTCCACTGCTAAGGTCACAGCATGAATTATCCAGGCCGATGGCGAAAAGGCCGGCCTATGGCAGGAACTCTGGAATCCCTGCTGGCTCCCCTCCCCCCACCCTCCTCCCAGCAGGAATTCCAGGTCTGTTTCCCAGGGGGCTGCGCAGGCGAGCTCTGGTGACAAGGACTTGGTCAGAATCCGCTGGCGCGTGCTGGGTGGCAAAGGGCCGTGGAGACCCCACACCCGCCTTCTGTATTCGCGCGTGTTCCCCCCGTCCACGTTCGCGGACACACTGCTCCGCGCTCCCCGAAGGGGCCCTTTCCGGTCCCCACGCAGAGCGCAGCTCGCGGAGCCTGTGCGCAGGTGCGCGGACTCGCCCCCCCATTCGGTCCAGCAGTGTGCCCCCCCCCAAACAGCGCGCACTCGGTCACGCGCCCAGCAGGTAGGGCCGCCCCACCACGGGCCTGCGTGGAACCCCGCGTCCTGCCCGGGTCGAACCTCTCTGGCGGGGAGCGCGGAGGCGCGTCGCGCGTCCATGAGGCCGGAAAGCCGGCGCCGGCGGCCGCGCTCCCCACCCCGCCGCGGCGACAGCAGCAGGTTCGAGTTCACCACTGCCAGGCCCGTGCCCAGCCCCCCCGCCGGTTCCCAGCGCCACGTGACTACAGGAGCTGCCGAGGGTCAGTCGCGGGCTCGGGCCGGCGGTCGCGGCCGGAGGGCGGGGCGGGCAGCGGGGCCGGCCGCGCGGGATCCCTCCCCCGCCCCCAGCGCCCCCTCGCGGCCCGCGCCCGGGCCGGGGGCGGCCGCCGCGGGCCCGACTCCGTTGCCATGGCGACCACAGCCCGGATTTTCCGGGATGAGCCCGGCTCCAGTTTCCCGACCCTTTGTCCCAACGGAGGACGCACGTCCCTGGGCGACCGCGTGGTCAGCCTGCGGTCACTTGGCTAGATCCGGCTTCGCTGGCCTAAGCGCTCCTAGCTGGCCCGAGCCTTCGAGAGGGCGCCTCCCACCCCCGGGCCGCCCCCTCCTCTTCTCCTGCCACCTCGACCTTTGGCCGCGCCGCGGAACCTGATACCGCAGGGGCTGAGCCTGGCGGGGGGCGCGGCTGACCCGAAAGTCTGCCTTGTGGGTTGTTCAGAGCTGGAGGAAGGAAAGGCCCGATCGGGTGAACTTTGAAACGGGAATGCCCTCGCTTCCAGAAATTAGCGGAGCGCAGGCGTCCCGGCTTCCGCGGCCGCGGGGCGCGGGTCCGGGTCCGGGGCGCAGGGCGGTCCTCGTCCCCGGGGCGTTTCGCTTGGAAACGCACCGCAGCCAGTTGGCGAGTGCGGAGTCAGGTGCGAGTCTTGCGTTCGTGACTCATCGGCTAGCAGGTGGCCTTGGCTTTCCGCACGAAACACTTCCTTGATTTTCCAGGCTTGTACACTTTCACGTACTTTTATGTTTTGCAACACAGGCAACTTTCTAATTATACAATTATTTTTAAAGCACAAAATCTGTTGCATTAATAGGAAATGAAATACAAAAATCTCTCATACTTTACCTCCTAGAGTCAATTACACTTAATATCTTAGTATGTATTATCGGGCATTTTTTTTAATGCTTATCTATGCTTGTTTGACGTTATTGGGATAATGCCTTACAAAAATGTATTCTGCCTTTTTCACTGAACAATACTGTGAATTTTCTGACATTTTATTAGATATTCTTTTTCTGATATTCTTTTATAACATGATTCTTAATCGCAGCATAAATGCACACAAATTTTCTACTTTTCTATATCATTGTGGATTCATGATACAGGAGCTGCCGAGGGTCAGTCGGCATATGCTTTTATTGCACATACTTGATTTAAAAATTCTGGAAGTGGGGAACTGATAGGTCAAAGGCAAAGTATATTTTTCAAATGTTTTCTAAACTATCTTCGAGGAAAATGTATTGGTTTTCTTTTGAGAAATGCCCCTTTTTCCATATCCTTGAAAACACAGGCTATTTTTTCAAATTCAATTTAAAGTTGTTATTTCTCATTGTTTTGAATGTTGTTTCTTTAATTACTAGTTAACTGGCTTGTTTTTCCACGTAGTTATTTATTAACTGTTTGTATTTTCTCTTGTGTGAATTTGCTTTTGTCCCTTTGCCCACTTTTCTATTTGTCCATTTTAAAAAGTTGGGAAATTGACTCCTGCGTATATATCTGAAGAAAACGAAAACATTAATTCAAAAAGATACATGCACCCCAATGTTCATAACAGCATTATTTACAATAGCCAAGATACAGAAGCATCCTAAGTGTCCATCAGCAGACAAATGGATAAAGAAGTTGTGGTGTACATATACAGTGGAATACTACTCAGCCATAAAAGAATGAAATGTTGCCATTTGCAACATGGAGGATATTATGCTTAGTGAAATAAACAGAGAAAGACAAATGCTGTATGTTATCACTTATATGTCAAATCTAAAAAAAAACACAAACTAGTGAATATAACAAAAAAGAAGCAGACTCACAGATATAGAGAACAAACTAGTGGTTACCAGCAGGGAGAGGGAAGGAGGGAGGGCAAGATAGGAGTAGGGGGTTAAGAGGTATAAACTATAAGAGGTATAAAATAAATAAGCTACAAGGATACCTTGTACAGCACAGAGAATGTAGCCAATATTTTATAATAACTATAAATGGAGTATAATCTATAAAAATTTTGAATCACTGTGTTGTACACTTGAAACTAATATGATATTGTAAATCAACAACACCTCAAAAAAAGTTGGGAAATTGGTTTTACAATATTTCACATTGTTTGGGGGACACTCCTTATACAGTAAAAAGCCTTTCATGGTTTCTGCCTTCGGTGTTACGTTTAGAGCACCCACACCATCCCTCCCCAAATGAAATTTTATGCTTGTATTTTTGTCACAGAAAGTAAGTTTTAATATCTAGTAGTGTAAGTACTCCCCCTATGACACAGGTTCCTTTTTTTCCCCACAACTTTCTTGGCTAAAATCACTCTCTTATTGCCTCTCGCCTTCTGAGATGGCCCACACTCTGTGGAGTATGTTTCTCTCTAAATAAATCCACTTCTTACCTAAAAAATTAAAATAAAAAATTAAATCACTCATTAACCTTCCAAATGAACTTTAGAATTTCTTGTCAATATTTTAAAATGTTTCTTGACATTATTTTAAAAATCCACTTGAAGAGATTTAAGATTCACGTCCCTCCGTTGGTTCGGGTCTTATTTTACCTCTCACAGTCAAGTTTTCTTATTTGTAGATTAAATAGTATAACTTTTGTACTTTTCCTATAATAAAATTTACAAATATGAAAAAAACTTTGTCAGATACTTTGTCAGAGTTTTAAGGTTCAGAAAATATGGTAGACTGTATATTGTAGCATGTAGGTCAAGTTTGGTGGTTACAGAAGAATGGATTTTTCTATGAGTGCAATCAGAAGATATTCGAGTTTTTACCTAAATACTTAGTAATAATAGTTAATATTTAGGGAGTCCTTATTTTCTGTCAGACATGGTGATAAACTTTTCACATATGTATCTCATTTAATCCACTTAACCCTAGGAAACATACTCTTCTAGTGCTCATTTTACAAATCAAACAACTGAGACTCAGAGATGTTGAGAAATTTGCCCAACGCCACACAGCTGGATCATGGCTGATAGGAACCTGGCCTCACTTTTCACCACTAAAGTTGTGTGTCTGGGAAAAGCACCAAGTGCTGAGCCCAGCACAGAGTAATTGTGAAATACCTCTTAGTTCATGGGTAGATGTGGCACGTCAGTGCTCCTGGATATAATACACTCCGGCAAGAACCCTCCAGGGGAATTCCTTCACAGACACACAAAGTGCCTTCATCTGTCTGTCATCGGTCTCTCTGAGCAGAAAGGCTCTTCCCTTAAACAACGCCTTAACTACTCCCCAGTCCCCAGCCCCCACTAGAAGTGTCCTCATGCCCCGTTAGGAATTATCCACCTGCTGTACTTTGCTCTTTTGGCAAAGACAAAGGACACTAAGTATAGAACGACGGGGCCTTCACTCTGCAGAGAGAAAATGCAAAGGAGTGGTGAGGGATTCCTGAGGCTTTATGCCAGTCAGAAATTCTAGGCCTTGGTATTCAGGACTTCACCCCTCAGTATGCCTTAGAGAGGGATGTGGCAAGGGACGGTGCTGTGACTGGCCAAACAGTCAAATGGCCCAGCCCGATGCAGATTGCCTCAGCTTTGACGCGCCTGCAAGAAAAAGATGGGGCTGTACAGGGTCAGGGGCCCACCGGACAGAGAAACTTGAAAGGGGCCCTGGGAGGGTCCCTCTTCCCCTCCAGCAGTGCCTGACCCCCCCCCCCCACTACTGGATTAGATGGCAAAGTGGGTGGGTTTACCAGGGGATGAGGGGAACGATGTCTCCAGAAATCCTCTGTGAAGATGTTACTGAACCCAACTTGGGTCCACTCGCCTGCTCAAAAAACCCAAACTCCCCGCACCTCGGGGGCATGTGAAACTTTCCTGGCCGGGGATCAAACCCGCGCCCCCTGCAGTGGAAGCCCAGATTCTTAACCACCCGACTGCCAGCAAAGCATTTTTAGAAGCCAGGTGAGGGAGGGGACTCGCAGGGTGTGTGATCAGCTGTGGACAAGTCTCTGGTTGATGGTGGTTAACAGGACGGTGTCACAGGGGTTAACACGATCAATCCTCAGGCTCCAGTCGGTCTGGGAGCTACGTGCTCATGTCATCAAGTAGTTAAATGCTTGCATTTGGTGGGGATTTTAGCATCTGTAAAGCAACTCCGGAAATCTGCATCAGATACTGTAATCTAGGTACTTCAGGGAGGAGCTAAAGCAGAGGATATGGGGGAGGGGTCTGTCCTGGGAAGGCCCCATAGGGTCCTGCTCGGTTCCGAAACGCCCAGGTATTGGTTAGCAGCAGTCCGGTATCTACAAGAGGGAAAACTGCATCTATGTCACAGATAGCCTGTGCCTGTCCTCCCCACAGGACTCACTCATAACACCAGCAAATATTTAATCAGTGCCCACCATCTGCTGTGCCAGCTGCTGGGCCTACCGCAAGCCCGACAGAAATGGTGCTATCTCTCCACAGTGTGGGAGGGTATTGAGAGGAGCTGGTTTAGCGACGGAGGTATCTCTTGGGTTAGTACTTCGTATGAAACAAAACCAAATGCTTGTTGCTAATTTCTGAATGGATGACCAGGGGAGTGAGAGAGAAGAGAGGAAATCTTCCCTCCAGTGGGAACCGCCGTATTACTCACTCCGGCTTCAGACGGCCTCCCCAAGGCGGGTTTGGAACATCGCACAGAGTCATTCCCAGCGGTGGCGGACCGTGTGGGGAGGGGGCAGGAAGCACACGCACGCTGACCTCGGCGGGGCCACGTCTGCAGGGAGAGCCTCGCGCGGGTGCTGTCACCCGTAGGTGCTCACGCAGCCTCGACCCCGGGAGCCCTCCCAGCTGCCCACCTGGAGAGAAAGCCCGACTGTCCAAGGCCGGCACCATGGGTGAAAGGAGCCTCTTCAGGAAGAGATCAAAGTGCTCCTCCTTCTGCAGTCCCCAAAATGTCCTTAAATGCAGGAACGTGGCCTGCAGGACCCAGGCAAGAACAGGCACTGTAAAGAAGCCCTAGATGGAGATCAAATGTCATCCCCCCAACTCTGCTGCACAAGACACTTCTGTTGCATATCTAGTTCCAGGAGTCCGGGGTTTTTTTGTTCTTTTTGTGTTTTTTTTGCGGTACGTGGGCTTCTCACTGTTGTGGCCTCTCCCGTTGCAGAGCACAGGCTCCGGACGCGCAGGCTCAGTGGCCATGGCTCACGGGCCCAGCTGCCCCGCGGCACGTGGGATCTTCCTGAACCGGGGCACGAACCCGTGTCCCCTGCATCGGCAGGCGGACTCTCAATCACTGCGCCACCAGGGGAGTCCAGGAGTCCTTTTTTTTGTTTTGTTTTGCTTTTTTATAAATTTATTTATTTTTATTCATTTCTGGCTGCATTGGGTCTCCGTTGAGGTGCGTGGGCTTCTCATTGTGGTGGCTTCTCTTGTTGCGGAGCACGGACTCTAGGTGAGCGGGCTTCAGTAGTTGTGTCTCACGGGCTCAGTAGTTGTGGCTCGCGGGCTTAGTTGCTCCGCAGCATGTGGGATCTTCCTGGACCAGGGCACGAACCGTGTCCCCTGCATTGGCAGGCAGATGGATTCTTAACCACTGCGCCACCAGGGAAGCCCCCAGGAGTCCGTTTTTTTGGAAAGGAAAAGAACATAGTGGGTCAAAAGGAAACCAGGTTTCCTGCAGCGAGAGCCTCTCCTGCCACCTGCTGCTCCTGGCCCCTTCTGGCCGCCCGGAGCCTGGCCTCCCGGACCATTTGATCCTTTTAAACAGAGATCAGGTTGCTCACTCCACATTTTGACGACATAGCAAAGGGCTGCCGCGGCCTCTAAGGTTCCGCCTGGTCTGACCGCCTGCCAGCCCCTCCGCGCAGCCACAGAAGCTCCATCCCACCGTAGGGCCTTTGGAGTTGCTGTTTCATCCGCCTGGGACGCCCTCCCTCTTGCTCTTTATAGGCGGCACTCCTTCACTTTGTTCAGATTTGGGCCGAAGTATCCTCTCCTCAAAACATGCGCCCCGATGACCTTCTCTCTCCTCCGTACTCCCACCCGGATGAGGAGGTCCCTGATGCCACTGGGACAAATTGCCCCAAACTCAGTGGCTTAAGACAACGCACATTTATTCTCTTATGGTTCCGGATGTCAGAAGCCCCAGATCAGTTTCACTGGGTGGACGTCAAAGTGTCAGCAAGGCCACGTTCCCTGCAGAGGCTCTAAAGGAGAAACTGTTGGCCTGTCTTTTCCAGCTTCTAGAGCTGACCGTGTGTATTCTGTGTCTCAGGGCTCCCTCCTCCGTCCTCAAAGCCAGGAGGGTAGCATCTTGCTTCAGGTATCACATCTGTCTCTGCTGTAGTCAGATCTCCCTCTGCCTTCCTCTTACGAGGACACCTCTGATTACATTTGGGGCCACCTAGATAATCCAGGATAATTGTAAGGGAAGATGCAAGTTAAAACTAAGAAAAGTAAGTTTTAATTCTCCCTGGTACAAAAAGGAAAAAACTCTCCCCGCCCTTCCCTAAGAGCATTTTCTTTAGAAAACTTCTAATTGGA